TTAGAACCAGCTACCTTTCGGTTACTGGCACAACGCTCTTAACCACTGAGCTACCTGCCACCCTATAAGTTGGGTGAATTTTGGCCCATTCCTCCTGACAGAGCTGGTTTGTAGGCCTCCTTGCTCGCACACGCTTTTTCAGTTCTGCCCACATATTTTCTATAGGATTGAGGGTTTTGTGATGGCCACTCCAATACCTTGACTTTGTTGTCTTTAAGCCATTTTGCCACAACTTTGGAAGTATGCTTGGGGTCATTGTCCATTTGGAAAACCCATTTGCGACCAAGTTTTAACTTCCTGACTGATGTCTTGAGATGTTGCTTCAACATATCCACATAATTTTCCTTCATCATGATGCAATCTATTTTGTGAAGTGCACCAGTCCCTCCTGCAGCAAAGCACCCCCACAGCATGATGCTGCCACCCCCGATCTTCAAGGTTGGGATGGTGTTCTTCGGCTTGCAAGGTACCCTCTTTTTCCTCCAAACATAACGATGGTCATTATGGCCAAAAAGTTCTATTTTTGTTACATCAGACCAGAGGACATTTCTCCAAAAAGTACGATCTTTGTCCCCATGTGCAGTTGCAAACCGTAGTCTGGCTTTTTTATGGCGGTTTTGGAGCAGTGGCTTCTTCCTTGCTGAGCGGCCTTTCAGGTTATGTCGATATAGGACTCGTTTTACTGTGGATATAAATACTTTTGTACCTGTTTCCTCCAGCATCTTCACAAGGTCCTTTGCTGTTGTTCTGGGATTGATTTGCACTTTTTGCACCAAACTACATTCATCTCTAAGAGACTGAATGCGTCTCCTTCCTGAGCGGTATGACGGCTGCGTGGTCCCATGGTGTTTCTACTTGAGTACTATTGTTTGTACAGATGAACGTGGTACCTTCAGGCATTTGGAAATTGCTCCCAAGGATGAACCAGACTTGTGGAGGTCTACAAAATGTTTTCTGAGGTCTTGACTGATTTCTTTTGATTTTCCCATGATGTCAAGCAAAGAGGCACTGAGTTTGAAGGTAGGCCTTGAAATACATCCACAGTTACACCTCTAATTGACTGAAATGATGTCAATTAGCCTATCAGAAGCTTCTAAAGCCATGACATCATTTTCCTGAATTTTCCAAGCTGTTTAAAGGCACAGTCAACTTAGTGTATGTAAACTTCTGACCCACTGGAATTGTGATACAGTGAATTATAAGTGAAATAATCTGTCTGTAAACAATTGTTGGAAAAATTACTTGTGTCATGCACAAAGTAGATGTCCTAACCGACTTGCCAAAACTATAGTTTGTTAACAAGAAATTTGTGGAGTGGTTGAAAAACAAGTTTTAATGACTCCAACCTAAGTGTATGTAAACTTCCGACTTCAACTGTATGTTGAAGTTTGTTTATTTGTCATATACAGTGCATTCGGAAAGTAGTCAGACCCCTTCCCCTTTTCTACATTTTGTTATGTTACAGCCTTATTCTAAAATTCATTAAATTACATTTTTTTCCCTCATCAATCTACACACAATACCCCATAATGACAAAGCGAAAACAGGTTTTTAGACTTTAAAACACAAATACCTTATTTATATAAGAATTCAGACAATTTGCTATGAGACTCGAAATTGAGCTCAGGTGCATCCTGTTTCCACTGATCATCCTTCAGATGTTTCTACAACTTGATTGGTAAATTCAATTGATTGGACATGATTTGGAAAGGCACACACCTGTCAATGTAAGGTCCCACAGTTGACAATGCATGTCAGAACAAAAACCAAGCAATGAGGTCGAAGGAATTGTCCGTAAAGCTCAGAGATTGTGTCGAGGCACAGATCCGGGGAAGGGTACCAAAAAATGTCTGCAACATTGAAGGTCCCCAAGAACACAGTGGCCTCCATCATTCTTAAATGGAAGAAGTTTGGAACCACCAAGCCTCTTCCTAGAGTTGGCCGCCCAGCCAAACTGAGCAATCAGGGGAGAAGGGCCTTGGTCAGCGAGATGGTCACTCAGAAAGAGTTCTTGAGTTCCTCTGTGGAGATGGGAGAACCTTTCAGAAGGACAACCATCTCTGCAGCACTCCACCAATCAGTCCTTTATGGCAGCGTGGCCAGAAGGAAGCCATTCCTCATTAAAAGGCACATGACAGCCTGCTTGGACTTTGCCAAAAGTCCAAGATTCTCTGGTCTGAAGAAACCAAGATTGAACTCTTTGGACTGAGTGCCAAGCGTCACGTCAGGAGGAAACCTGGCACCTCCCTATGGTAAATCTTGGTGGTGGCAGCATCATGTTGTGGGGATGTTTTTCAGCAGCAGGGAATGGAAGACTAGTCAGGATGGAGGGAAAGATGAACAATGCAAAGTACAGAGAGATCCTTGATGAAAACCTGCTCCAGAGGGCTCAGGACCTCAGACTGGGGCGAAGGTTCAACAGGACAATGACCCTAAGCACACAGCCAAGACAACACAGGAGTGGCTTTAGGACAAGTCTATGAATGTCCTTGAGCGGCCGAGCCAGAGCCCGGACTTGAACCCGATCGAACATCTCTGGAGAGACCTGAAAATTGCTGTGCAGCAACGCTCCCCATCCAACCTGATAGAGCTTAAGCGGATCTGCAGAGAAGAATGGGAGAAACTCCACAAGCTGGTAGCGTCATATCCAAGAAGACTCAATGCTGTAATCGCTGCCAAAGGTGTTTCAACAAAGTACTGTGTAAAGGGTCTGAATACTTATGTAAATGTGATATTTCTTTTTTTTTATTGTCATACATTTGCAAAAATGGATAAAACCTGTTTTTGCTTCGTAATTATGGGGTATTGTGTGTAGATTGATGAGGGGAAAAAAACAATTTAATCAATTTTAGAATAAGGCTGTAACCTAACAAACAGTGCAAAAAGTCAAGGGGTCTGAATACTTTCCGAATGCACTGTACAGTGAGGGGAAAAAAGTATTTGATCCCCTGCTGATTTTGTACGTTTGCCCACTGACAAAGAAATGATCAGTCTATCATTTTAATGGTAGGTTTATTTGAACAGTGAGAGACAGAATAACAACAAAAAAATCCAGAATGTCAAAAATGTTATAAATTGATTTGCATTTTAATGAGGGAAATAAGTATTTGACCCCCTCTCAATCAGAAAGATTTCTGGCTCCCAGGTGTCTTTTATACAGGTAACGAGCTGAGATTAGGAGCACACTCTTAAAGGTGTGCTCCTAATCTCAGCTTGTTACCTGTATAAAAGACACCTGTCCACAGAAGCAAGCAATCAATCCGATTCCAAACTCTCCACCATGGCCAAGATCAAAGAGCTCTCCAAGGATGTCAGGGACAAGATTGTAGACCTACACAAGGCTGGAATGGGCTACAAGACCATCGCCATGCAGTTTGGTGAGAAGGTGACAACAGTTGGTGTGATTGTTCGCAAATGGTAGAAACACAAAAGACCTGTCAATCTCCCTCGGCCTGGGGCTCCATGCAAGATCTCACCTCGTGGAGTTGCAATGATCATGAGAACGGTGAGGAATCAGCCCAGATCTACACGGGAGGATCTTGTCAATGATCTCAAGGCAGCTGGGACCATAGTCACCAAGAAAACAATTGGTTAACACACTACGCCATGAAGCACTGAAATCCTGCAGCACCCGCAAGGTCCCCCTGCTAAAGAAAGCACATATACAGGCCCGTCTGAAGTTTGCCAATGAACATCTGAATGATTCATAGGAGAACTGGGTGAAAGTGTTGTGGTCAGATGAGACCAAAATCGAGATCTTTGTCATCAACTCAACTCGTCGTGTTTGGAGGAGGAGGAATGCTGCCTATTGCCCGAAGAACACCATCCCCACTGTCAAACATGGAGGTGGAAACATTATGCTTTGGGGGTGTTTTTCTGCTAAGGGGACAGGACAACTTCACCGCATCAAAGGGACGATGGACGGGGCCATGTACTGTCAAATCTTGGGTGAGAACCTCCTTCCCTCAGCCAGGGCATTGAAAATGGGTCGTGGATGGGTATTCCAGTATAACAATGACCCAAAACACACGGCCAAGGGAACAAAGGAGTGGCTCAAGAAGAAGCACATTAAGGTCCTGGAGTGGCCTAGCCAGTCTCCAGACCTTAATCCCATAGAAAATCTATGGAGGGAGCTGAAGGTTCGAGTTGCCAAACGTCATGCTCGAAACCTTAATGACTTGGAGAAGATCTGCAAAGAGGAGTGGGACAAAATCCCTCCTGGGATGTGTGCAAACCTGGTGACCAACTACAAGAAACGTCTGACCTCTGTGATTGCCAACAAGGGTTTTGCCACCAAGTACTAAGTCATGTTTTGCAGAGGGGTCAAATACTTATTTCCCTCATTAAAATGCAAATCAATTTATAACATTATTTACATGCGTTTTTCTGGATTATTTTGTTGTTTTTCTGTCTCTCACTGTTCAAATAAACCTACCATTAAAATTATAGACTGATCATGTCTTTGTCAGTGGGCAAACGTACAAAATCAGCAGGGGATCAAATACTTTTTTCCCTCACTGTACATGGAGTACACAGTGCAACGAAATGCTTCCTTGCAGGTTCACCACTCGACAATGCAACAACAATAGGAAAGTAAGTATGTGAATAAAAAAACAATGACAATAAAAGCTTAATGCTCAATAAAAGCTCAATTTATAAAAATGATGTGTAAGGGGAAAGGGGGCAAGGGTGTAATGGGGGTAGAGAATGGAAAGAGATTGTAAGTAGATAGGGAGTGAGAGGATTGGAGTGTTGAGGCGATAGGAGAACATACAGAGAGTAAAGATATCACCAGGATGTAGAGGCTCCTGTTAAACTCTGTGTGACATTCCCAATGTCAGCCGCGCTCCATCACCCCACTATTTTGGGAGCCCGAGCAGCGACATCTGGGATATTTATTGCTTACTAATTTAATTCTGCCGCAGAGTTTATAACTGACGAAACATGAGTCATGGGAGAAGAGAAAAATGAAAATGTGAACCCGAGGGATGAAAAAGTCATTAAACAGGAGCGGTGGCCAGACATAGACACAGGGAAAGTGCTTGGATGGCAGCAGTAAAACATTACAGGACAGGCCAACCATGTTAACGTTTATAGTTGTACTTTCATGAGTCATGTGTATGTGTTTTGTGTGTGTGCGCGTGTGACTGCGTGAATCCATGTGTGTGTGTGTGCATGCATGCGTGTGGGTGTACGTGTATACATACGTGTTGGAAGCAGCTCTGGACACTGGGCTCGATGTTGCTCCCTCCGAAGGCGGCAACCTCTCCTAGTTGCCGTGGTATCTGGATAGCGTCGTGGAGCAGCAGACCCAGCTGTCTCTGGTCACACGTATCCCCTGATGATGCCACTTGACTGAACAGGTCTGGTAGAAAGAAAGAAAGAAAGAAAGAAAGAAAGAAAGAAAGAAAGAAAGAAAGAAAGAAAGAAAGAAAGAAAGAAAGAAAGAAAGAAAGAAAGAAAGAAAGAAAGAAAGAAAGAAAGAAAGAAAGAAAGAAAGAAAGAGATTGAGCTACGAGACTACACAAACACAGTTTCTCATCCAAGACTCTACTGTCACTCTTTATCAGTGTGAGTGTGTTGTGTGAGTGTGAGTCAGTGTGTTTTGTCAGCGTGTGTATTAATAGCTTTATGTGGGTAGTCGTCACTAAGAGCTCGGGAAGGAGGAGGTACAGTAGAAGAGTCCTGGTGAGCTGAGCCCAACCCAAAATAATCAGTCTTTCTCTCTCTCTAAATGCTCATCTCCGCCTCACTATCACAGGAAAGCAGTCAATTACCCAACAACCCCTGCTCTGAGGGGAGAGGAAGGGGCATCTACCAATTGTTAAAAAGGATTATAGAGGTCTAGACGTACACACACAATGTTTTTTTGTTTAAGTCGTAAAACAAAACAAAATTGAATGCAAGAGCTCAGTTGATTCTTGTCAGAGCTCTGTCTGCCTTGTTAACTCACAGATTGGACAAAGAAGGAAAAGAGAGCGAGCTAGGCGCGATATCGGCGAGGAGAGATAGTAGATAAGAGAGAGAGAGAGAGAGATAGAGGAGGAGATGAGAGAGAAGAGAAAGAGAAGAGAGAGAGCGAGAGAGAGAAAAGAAAGAGAAGAGAAAGAGAAAGAGAAGAGGAGGAGGAAGAGATGAAAGACAGAAAGAGAAAGTAGGAGTGTGGCATCTTGAAAGAAAGACAAGAGATCGAGCATCTCTCGCTCGCGCTCTTAGTTTTCGAGCGTGATAGAAGAGAGAGAGAGAGAGAACCCTCTCTCTCCTCTCTCTCCCTCCTTCCGCTCGCTCTCGCCTTCCCGCTCTCCCTCCCTCTCTCTCCTCTCCCTCGCTCCCCTCGCTCTCACTCCCTCTCTCTGCCCTCTCTATCTTCTCTCGCTCCTCCCCCCGCTCCTCTTCTCTTTCTCGTCTTTCTCTCTCCCTCCCTCTCTCTCGCGCCCCCCCGCTCGCGCTGGCTGCCTTTGCTCTCGCTGCTTCATGTTCTCCCTCCCCCGGCTCGCTCTCTCTTCTCTCGTTCTCCGCGCTCCTGGCGCTCGAGCCAGATCCGACATCACATAGAGACCACCCCCGAACCACACGTCGCGAAGAGAGGGACTCCCCCTTCTACTGGCTAAAGGGGGCAATAAAAGGATGGAGAGATATGGCTCTACTATCTATCTGTTCTGCCTGGTCATGTCTTTGATCTCTGTGTGAGACTCTGCCTTGATGTCAGCTCTCCTTATGTGGAATGGTAATGCCACTTCTACCATTCTGTGTGTGTCTGCATATGCACAAACCAGTCTTGATGTCAGCTTGCATTAGGTTAAGTAACTATGTCTCTTCTTCATTTTTGCACGTCCTGTGCTGGGCATTCTTATCCATGAGCAGCCATGCGTATCAGCTTCATAAGCCTTCATAGTCACTACGTTGGACATTGTCAACGACCTCAAAATCACATGAGCCCCAGGCTTACTTAATATTTCTACTCTGAAGGAGAAAACAAGAGGACACAAAAGCGAGAGCAAAGTGAGGATGGACTGAATGTTTTCAGAAACGACAGAGCACACTCCCCCAGTGCACCAGCCACAATCCCCCTGCAAAAAAAAATATACAAAAATACAAAACTAGTGGGAGGTCTCTCATCTAATCTAGACGGGCCATTCACTGGCGTCCTCTGCCACGGGTCCAGCCGTTCATCACCCTGGGTAACTGAGCTGGGATTACAGCCTGGCAGAGGGCATTATGGGATACGATGGCACGGAGAACACTACAACGCTCACCACGGGGCTGCTCTCAATTCACATCAGCGTGTGTGTGTGTCAAAGTGTGTGATAAAGTTGTATGACTTCACTTTGTGTGTGTGTGTGTGTGCGTGTGTGTTTGAGTGTTTCTGTGTGTGTTATGTGTGTAAAAAGGGGTTTTGTGCGATGGGGTGGTACTTACACTTGTATTTCTCCTCCAGATGGCCCTTGGAGAGCGAGAGCAATCCTATCTTCATGGACAGGACACGAATCTTCCCACTGCGTCCGCTACAGAGGGAGGGAACACACATACACAGGAAGAGAAAATAAAAGAAATACAAATTCTACAAGCTGTGCGTGTTTTTAATACATGGGTATAATGCGTGTGTCGCCGTACGTGTCGTAGACATTGAGCAGCCAGTTGAGACACGTGTCGACACACAGCGGAACGTTGACCAGGTCCTTGTGCTGCTGCTCCAGCCCGTCATAGATGGACGTCAGACAGTTGATCACGTCAGGCACCGTCAGCAGCTGGGCATTCTGGGTAAGCTTGTGCTGTTCGAAGGTGCTCTGGGCCACGTTCAGGTCCAACAGGTCCACTGGAGGGAGGGAGGGAGGGAGGGAGGGAGATGAATTTCCCAAAGTTGTTTACTAAGACCACTCAATTACAACAAAGGCCATTATAAAATGGTGAAGAACACTGGAAACTGCCACAGAAAATTACAGATGGCTGGAATGTCACAACATGGGCCATATACAGGATATGAGGTGGCTGTATACATTGGTGTGACACCAGGGTGGCAGGCCAACAAATTTATGTTACAGCTACTGCAGCCCACGGCTCAGAGTTAACCTAATTAGCTGTTTAAGGGGAATCTTGCTGTGTGAGTGTGTACGAGACACACACACACAAACACACACGTCTCACAGTTGGGGTCCATGGAGGGAAAACAAAACACCTGCTAACGGGAAGGGGTTTGAGGAAAATATACTGACTCATTCCCTCTCTCTCTCCTCCCTCTCTCGCCCTCCTTCCCCTCCCTTCCACCCTCACTCACTCACTCTCTGTTTCAGAGCACACATTAAGCCAGAGTAATAACTAATAATAAATAAAACACCTCGGTAATTATGGTAGAGAGCCTGGTCCAGTCCCAGCAGCAAGGTACAGACAGTACCCAGAGGATCAGGTGATCATATTTCTCCACACACTCTCAGAAGCCAACAGGGAATAACTAACACAATGATAGCTATAGCCAGCTGGTTATTGTAGAAGACAATTTGTTCCCTTTCGGAATGAAACAGACAGCGGCACAGGTGGATTCTCAGCTAAACAAAATGATGTTCACACATACAGGTACACACAAACTCAATCACATACCTGCACACACACGCACACACCTGCAAAGTGGGATGGACATATTTCTAAATAAGCCCCTCCATGTCAGACTAGAGCCAAAATGTTTGGCAGTAGATCAGGTCATTAAGGCATCTGATGCCTTGCACCTGGACTATGTTGTGAATAGGTGAGGAGGGAGAAGATACTGATGGCACAGGAATCTCTGCAGCCTGAGGACATTTAGGTGAGGTGTGTGTGTGGGTGTAGAGAAAAGGAAACTTACAGCATAGTGCTTTCTGTAGCCTGCGGATCTTCATGGCTGTTCTGTAAGCGGAAAATCTCACGTTGTTCAGGTCGGCTAAAAGAGAGAGAAAGAAAGATAGAAAGAGAGAGAACAGAGGGAGGAAATACATCATACAGAATGTATAATAGCAGTCTGACACACGGGCATAAAATAACTGGAAAGGTGGGGAGACATGAAATAATGATGTCAAACTGGAAACCTATTGAAAATATGTGCTGTATTGTCATTTATATATGGTCACACAGGGATGGCTGGAAATGACTGGTAATTGGGTTAATGAGTCCTCTCTCGGAGGAGTGGAGTCCTATTTGTTGAGTGTTGGCCTTCAGGAAATGGTCCCAGAGTTTCACAGCTTATTACTGTATGAAAATGTATGCACTCACTAACTGTAAGTCACTCTGGATAAGAGAGTCTGCTAAATGACTAAAATGTAAATGTAAAAAATTACTGATCCATCTGCTCATTAAAGAACAGTAACACTCGCCACCGCAATAGGATGACTACATAAATATGGATGTTTACAGTCAGTGTGAGTGGGTTGTGAAAGTGTGTGCATGTGTGTGTGTGTGTGTGTGTGTGTGTGTGTGTGTGTGAGAGAGAGAGCGAGAGAGAGAGGGAGAAAGAAAACGCGAGAGAGAGAGAACTTTGCAGCTACTGTGTGGTGTAAAATGTGTGTGGAGTGAATGTGATTTTTTTGTGATTACATGAGTGGAGTGGAGTCTGTGTGTGTGCATGCATGTCTGGTTGTCCATGTGTTCCATACCAAGCGATTGGTAAAGCTCTGTCATCTTTGGATTGTCCCAGCAGGTAGTCTGAGTCTGGTGGCTGGAAAACAACAGGGGATAACGATAAGGATTTTGTCACACACACACGCACACGCACACATCAATTGCTCTGTGCAATCACAGTCTAGACAGCCTACCTGTTTTCTTATCGGCTCAAAGATAGAGGCTCATGTATACAAATCCGAAACGCGGATTTGATTGTGATTACCAAAGCATACAAATCATCCAGGAAGCCTTCAGAGTGACGCACAAGGAGAACACACACACCCCTCTCACACACACCCCTCTCATCTCCACATGCCCCCACTCAATATGGTACCTAGCAAATAAAGGTTAAATACAAAAATATTTAAATAAAACACACAGCCAGGTCCCCTGGGCTACAAGGGGAACGTGTTGACATCTCGCCCCCGTTCTGTTTACATTTCAGCTTCTGAGAAACGCCTTCCGGCGCAGACTGCACAGACAAAATAACCCAAATGAACAAAAATAAACATAAGTTGCAATAAAAACGCAAAGAAACAACAAAAAAAACGGATCTGATCAAGGAGAGAGAGTCATGTTGAGTTTAGTACTCCAGAAGGCAACATTGATAAGCAGGAGTGGGGTTTGTGTCAGTCTGTCTGCTGCACTGCTTCATTTGATCAGGGAGCTGATTTATATTGGAGTGATTCTCCGCTTCAGAGAAATATACCTGCCTATACCCACACTGGTATCAAGGGACTGTAATGTTTTAACGCTGTAAAAGGAGGTGTGGGTTCAAAATTAGACGTATGTTCTGTTGTGAACGCCAGTGTCTCTGTGATTAGGTTGTCGTAGAGGAGACTGGCTCCACAGAGAGAGAGACAGAGAGAGAGAGAGTTGGGAAGAGAGTGAGAGAAAGAGAGAGACATAAAGAGAGAGAGAGAAAAGACAGGGTGGCTAGTGAAGTGCTGACAGTAGAACACAGGGGAGACTGACTACAGAAGCCATCAGCAGGTGTTCATCCCTATTCATCATGCTCTGAAATGGCTGACACTTTCACACCTTCCTCCACAAACACGCACGTCTTGCACTGCAAATATCACTGGAGCACAGCTCAGAGTGTCTTTTTTAGCTGTCCTACATTAGACAGGGCCTGATTCAATCATGGTCGAGCTGGTATTATTGTGTCCCAGTGAGGATTTGGACACCAAGCCATCAGAAATGGATTCACACCTCCTCTTGTTCGAACAGCTTGAATATTTAGCCGCGGTTGTGGCATAAGCGTGTATACACACATGCATGCACACGCGCACATACACGCACACAAACACGCCTAGGCTATACAAGCGTGCACAAAACTCCTGTCAACAGCAGTCTGAGAAATTACAATAAATGTTGCAATTTCGCTAAGTGTGTAGGAGGCACATCAAAGAGAAGCCAGCCTTAGACCCAAAGATGAAACACACAGAGTTGACTGATCTGGAAACCCACCTGTGTCTTGCCACAATGTATTCAGACCAAAGCAGCAGAATGAAAAACACAGCACAAAGGACACTGGCTCAATCAACAAATGGACTACACTAGCTGCCACAAATCCCAAATCAACAAAAATAAACATCATTTGAACTAAAAACGCAAAGAAACAACATCAAAAAAACGGATCTGATCAAGGAGAGAGAGTCGTGTTGAGTTTAGTACTCCAGAAGGCAACATTGATAAGCGTTGACTGATCTGGAAACCCATCTGTGTCTTGGAAACCCACCTATGTCAACAAATGGACTACACTAGCTGCCTACTACCTCTGCTGGATCTGGATCGGCAATTTAGGACTGTCATCATGAAGACAACCGACAGAGTTGTCAGGTTCTAACTTTCCTCAATCATCCCTACCCTCTCCCTCTGCCATCGGTCCTCATTTATCCTCAGAAACTCCCAAGTTTAAGATAACCTGCAGTAACCTTAACAAGGACAAAGCTGTGATGCATGTACACATGCTAAGGCTTGAAGAATACAAGGATCACACAGACATTCAGGTCCCGGAATGTGAAAGAGATAGTTTGGCACCAAGGAGTTTTAGAATCGGTCTTCACTAGTTACCACAGCCACAAAGTCAAAATTATGGCCAAACACCACCTATTTCTAAGATGTATCTTCTTAAAATCTGATTTTAAACTTAACCCTAACCTTAACCACACTGCTAACCTTATGCCTAACCTTAAATTAAGATTAAAAAGCACATTTTTGTTTCTGAATTTTTATGATATAGCCAATTTTGACTTTGTGGTAACTAGTGACAACCCTAGAATCTCTCTGATTTGAAGAACCACACAGAGATTCATCTTCCTAAACAAGCAGTTAAGGTTAGCTGTTTTGACGCTACTTCCTGAAAGGACCGAAGGGGCTTGGTAGTGCCATATAGAATTCGGCATTCATTATCAAACCCGGTTTGAGAGTTAGTGTTTTCCATGTGTGCATCAATGGTTCCTTTATATTTTATTCTACTTGTAATGCCTATTGGAATGTAATTGTTGTGGAATATCTGGTGCCAACATGGAGGATATAACAGCTTTGGGTAATGAGCTCAGACAGGAACTCAGAGATCAGCACCACTGGTGTTGATTTGTTGAAGGTACCGAACTGTCTGTTCAAGCAGTTGGCACACAGTTCGGACACTCATCGGTGCCACACTAGACCTGCAACCAGAGGTCTCTTCATAATATCCAGGTCCAGAACAGAGGCTGGGATACGCACAGTATTAAATAGAGCCATGACTACATGGAACTCTCTGCCACCCTAGGTAACTCAAGCTAGAAATACAACCAGATTCAAACAACAGATAAAATAACACCTTACGGCACGACGGGGACTGTGAAGAGAGACAGACATTTTTATGTATTTTGTATTTCATTTTTGCATTGTATTATATGTGATACGTGGTTGAGTTACGACTGCGATATATGGTTGTCTCACTTGGCTATCTTGAGATGAATGCACTGGCTGTGGGTCGCTCTGGATGGGAGCGTCTGCTAAATTGTAATGTAATTGTAGTGTTATGTATATTGTGTATTTTATTTGTTGTGTTTTGAATCCTGTTTGGACCCCAGGAGCAGCAGTTCATTGGGGATCCTAATAAATACTACTATTCATCAGCAGGGAATGAGTGAGTGAGTGATATAGAGAGCAGCACTTAACATTTCCCAGAAAACGTCCTTAAATGACATCTCTGAGTGAACGTCATTAAAACGGGCCCCTGGGATGGAATACTGCCTAGAACCTAGGAAACTCTACATTTTATGTAATCAATAAGCTACAGGAAAGTGCTGTTTACAAGAGTGTGTAAAGTAGTGGCAGAGTAGTGTGAATAGAATGACAGAGGTGAGTCTGTTACACTGCTTCTCCCTGGCTCCAGGTTGCCTCGGATACAGGGTGCATAATCACAGTGTTTAGAATCATCTGCAAAATGACTACTTCCCCTGGCATTTCCTGTTTGGCTTGGCCAAATACTTATTTTCCACCATAATTTGAAAATAAATTCATAAAAATCCTACAATGTGATTTTCTGGATTTATTTTTCTCATTTTGTCTGTCATAGTTTACGTGTACCTATGATGGAAATTACAGGCCTCTCTCATCTTTTTAAGTGGGAGAACTTGCACAATTGGTGGCTGACTAAATACTTTTTTTCCCCACTGTATATGCACACAGCTTTTGAACATTTGCATAGTTAATTGTTTAATTGCAGCATTCACTTCCAGCATTTTAATCAATTTCTTCATTTCCTGCACTAATGTGTTATCATCTGGCTAGCAGTTTTTTACTGGCGATAAAAATGGATGCCATCATTTTTTCCAAGTCATTACAGAATTATTTAATGTAACATATCAAACATTAAACCTTGTAAGCAATTCATGGTAATTCATGGTAACCTCGTAAACAATTCATTTAGGCCCAGAGTTTATTTGAAACAGCCATGTATTTGCTCAAATGTGTGCCGTTGCCCGGCTATTAAAAAGGGACAAGCAGCTATTTGAAAGACTGCTTTTAATTGAAGTTTTACAGTATAGGTGAATTTGTCCAAATACATTTGGTTCCCTAAAAGGGGGGGACTGTGTACAAAAAGTACTGTAAATTCTCAACAATTCACTGAATATGGATGTATATCTGACAAATTAAAGCTGACAGTCACTTTAACTTCATAGTACAGAGCCAAAAGAACAAAACATTTGTCACTGTCCAAATACTTTTGGACCTCACTGTATATAATTGGATGCAATGTAGATATACTGTATATTGGGTTAATGCACAAAAGCAAACATCCAGGTTAGTCAACCCAAACATTTTCATTTAAAATTAATTGGAACCAAAAGTGTAGGCGGTAAGCCTCAGTTTATGTAAAGCTAGGGGAAACACTGAGCTCTGCGCGGTGTAGTGATGCTCCATCAACTCCCAAAGACAGAGTCACAGAGTCATAGACGTCAGTCACGGTGTGAGGAGGACATTGTCTCGGTCACCCAGGACACGTTCATGAATAATCATGAGCAGTAGATTACTAAACATTTAAAAATATTCGGGAAATAGAATTAGGGAAATATCTGTGACTCAGGGAGACTTTTCCTGCCTCTTCTGTGACTGTCCTTGTGGTAGACTTATCTCCAACCAGAAGTGATAAGTGCCTGCATTCTCCAATTGACATATTCCAAATACATTTTTCCTCTACTCCTCCTCCCCTCAACATTTTATAATTTTTTCTCTCCTCTTCTCCTTTGCATTTAAAAAATGTTTCAACCCTTTGAATTGTCGCAACTTAATTAAAGTAATTTGATGAGTCACTGCGGACGCAAACCCAACGAAGACATCCTGATGGGCGCTCACACAGAGGCGTGAGCACACACAAACCCATACCACACATGTCACGCAGAGTGTAATGTGAAGCTCAAGCTAGCTCTTATGTTGGCAGAAGAGAGTGGCAGTCCAAAATTATACCCTGACAGCGTTCTGGACGTCTGAGCCAGAGGTCAGCTGGGGGTCAACTAGGATGGCAGAGTGGCGGGTGGCGAGGTGTCCGTGTGTAACCGTTTGATTTGCCAGTGTGTCGCTTCTCCTGGGGAGGGGAGGGGCGGGTGTAAGGCATGGTTTAATCAGTGGCCTTTGTGCAATCGGGCCGACGAGAAGTGGGATGAGAGAGAGAGAGGTGGGAGGCCAGAGCCAAATTAATGTGTCAAAGCCTGATGTTGGAGTCACGGTAATGTCACTGCACTGTAAGTGACCTACGATTAGCCCTGTGAAGGCTGTGGTAGAGTTTTGAATTCACTCAGAGGGGTCAGGGAGGGCAGTCAAATACATTTGAGAGATGTTTAATCACAGACCACAGCAGTGGCAGTAGCTCAGTGTTTTAGCTCCCGGCGGTGGCATTCTTTTGAATGAGATGAAAACCTCACAGTGTTTGGAATTTGAGGGAGGCTTTCAATAGGCTGATTTCTCGTCCTTTCTCCCCTTCTTATAGGGTCACTCAGGATGAATGTGAGTGGGGCTCAGCTAAACCTGTGGTCAAGTAGTTGTGCTACGTAATACAGAGTCAAGAATGGTACATTTGGCGGTGAGTAGCAGGAAAGTGTGTGTGTGTGTGTGTGTGTGTCTGCGTGTGTGTGTGTGTGTGTATGTGTGTGTGTGTGAAGGGGGACCCAGGGTTCAGTGGTCGGCCGCTCAAGGAGGGCCAACACCTGTGATCACAGGAAGCTGTTGTTGATTGCAGAGTTCTAAGCCTGTCCTCTCCTCTCTTCCAAGCCTCTTGCTGCTTTCATCTCTGATGCTTTCCAGTGCAAAGCTCCAGGGCTAAACAAATTGCAGGTGTTCACAGGGATGTCTCCCTCTCTCACTCAGTATCTCTCTCACAACCTGTTTCTGTACCTCTACCTCCTTATCACCCCCTCTCCCTCCTTCATCCTCACCCCATCTCTCTCCGACTGTCCTTTCCTATTAATCACTATTTTTCTCTTTCTACTCATAGCCTATTCCCCCTCAGGAGACTGAAAATATTTGGCATGGGTCCTCAGATCCTCAAAAAGTTATACAGCTGCACCATCGAGAGCATCCTGACTGGTTGCATCACCGCCTGGTATTGCAACTGCTCGGCCTCCGACCGCAAGGCACTACAGAGGGTAGTGCGTACGGCCCAGTACATCACTGGGGCCAAGCTTCCTGCCATCCAGGACCTCTATACCAGACCTCTATACCAGGCCCTCAAAATTGTCAAAGACTCCAGCCACCCTAGTCATAGACTGTTCTCTCTGCTACCGCACGGCAAGCGGTACCGGAGCGCCAAGTCTAGGTCCAAAAGGCTTCTCAACAGCTTCTACCCCCAAGCCATAAGACTCCTGAACAGCTAATCATGGCTACCCGGACAATTTGCACTGTCCCCCCACCCCCACCCCCACCCCGTCCACTTTTTTACTCTGCTGCTACTCTGTTTATTATTTATGCATAGTCACTTTAACTCTACCCACATGTACATATTACCTCAATTACCTCGACTAGCCGGTGCCCCCACACATTGACTCTGCACCAGTACCCCCCTGTATACAGCCTCCCTACTCTTTAGTTATTTGCTTTTATTTTTTTTGCTTAACATTTTTTAAATTTGTTTTACTTTGCATTGTTGGTTAAGGGCTTGTAAGTAAGCATTTCACCTGTTGTATTCGGCGCATGTGGCAAATAAAATTTGATTTGATTTGATATCCTTCTCTCTCAGTATATTTCTCTCTCAGTTGCCCCCATATCTCTATCCACCTGTCTTTCTCTGTCCACCTGTCTCTGTCTCTTTCTCTCTGCATGTGTCCAAGGTGCATTGAGACGGTCTGAAAGCCATCCTGAGTAGCTATCAGCACAACCCCCCCCCCTCTGCTTTTTTAATGGACCAACTGTCTGCTGCTTAGCTTGACTGTGAATGTATTACAATGGGCAATGTGACACCTATCTTAAGCTGTAATACCGCTGCTATAGACCGACTGTAAAAGGGTCCATGGATACTTTGTCATTATCAGAGGTATTATGCAAATCGAAAAGACCCGACAAAATTAATGAGCAACAGTTGACATTGCACTTCAAATCACTTCAAATTCAATTTTATGCTTGTGGAAATGTTCAAGAAATTAAACCAACCCTTAAAGCTGAATACTTAATTGGTGAAACTGCAACGTCCATTTGGGATACTACAACAACAAAGAAGTTACTGCAAACAACTAGCACTTTTTTTTCAGCGGACGCTGCTCTCCTCCGTTTCTCCTCGCTTTTATCAACAAAACAAAACCAATAACAAAGGTGCTGGGGTGAACAGTGGCACCGTTTCCCCAAATGCAGATTCGATCTTTAAGGAAACTTTAGAGTATTAATAGAATCACGCACTCACAAGTCAAATTAACCGCCTGCATGTATGCATGTATGCATAAACACACACACACACTCCTCTTTCAAACATTGTTACACATGTAGTTACCATACAATAAGTATAAAGAAAGTGATTCTTATAGCAGGCATAAGCAGCATGTTTACAGTAAGTGTTACTCACTTTATGTAGTATGGAACCTCATTCTGAGAGACCGCCCTCTGCCACGGGAGCTGCACAGAGGCTGTTGAGAAAAAGAAGAAGGAAAATAAACCATATAAATATAAAAAAGTGTTATTTGCAGCACAGTCATCCTTTTAGTCTCTCAAGTCGTACGCTTCTGCAAATATCCACTAATAGTTCCATAATACAAATGGAATTGTTGTACAAATACGATTCCCACTATGCATGAAATTGAAAAAGTAATGGGTATAACTCTTGGACAGTGAGAGCGAGGTAAGACGGCCGTATCTGTGAAAAGGTGCTGCGTCGTCTAAATAACCGGTTAATGTATTCTAACAGCACGTTATTGTTAGACTACACAGATAAAAGGGCAGAACAAACGGAGAGAAGGAAAGCGGATGAGTTAGCTGAACTTCAAAGCCCAAACACAACCAATAGACTGACAGGACATCAAATAAAAGCTGCCAAATGTGATGACACAAGACTTTACGAGCTGTCGTAAGCCATTCACAGAGAGGCACTCAGAAGTTGTTGATGGATGCCTTTCCCTACCCTGTATACGCCTACCCTACACACACTCCCTGCTTATTAGCTAGATCGAAACGGTGGATGAATGGAGGGATAGATGGAGGATAGATACTCTCTATATTTTTTTAAATAAACAGACAGACGGCTGGATGGATGGATGGACGGACAGGCAGACAGTTTGTTGAACCCTTAGATGAAACCAAGTTCTTAAAATACAAAAACATTTATAATAACAATAGTCACATGCGCCGAATACAACGGGTGTAGACTTGTACCATGAAATGCTTGCTTACAAGCCCTTCCCAACGATGCAGAGTTAAAAATAGGAAAAATACAAATAGTAACACAAGAGGAATAAAATACACAAGAATTAAGCTATATACAGGGAGTACCAGTTCTATATCACTGCAGGGGTACGAGGTACTTGAGGTAGATACACGTATGTACATAAAGGGAGGGTAAAGTAATTAGGCATCAGGACTATACCGATACCAGGTTTGGTATCTCGATACTCAATACCATCACAACACTCTATACCAAAACGATACCAGGGCAAAACAAGAAGGTATATTAGCCAAAGTCACAGAACGGCATTCAATCGTTGGGCATCCTTTGAGAATATTTTTCAGAGAGAGCCATGTATGCATTAATGAATCAATTATACAATCATACAATCAATTTGACTTCGTTTTGACCAATCTAACTACACAACAACATAATGGTAATCATTTATTTGGATGGTAAATCTCTATTGATAAACTGGTTGAATAAAGATGTAGCCTAGGCCTATTCACAATACAGGTGAATGCATATTCAATAGGAGTGTGCATGCATTGAGTTATTGAGCTTGTTTTTCCTGATTTCATGGGGCTACAGATGACAAACAATCTGTTTCCCTTCCATTTGGGACTTATTTTATCGTACTGCTCTTTAACCAGTAATGACGTCATTCACGTGGCAAGAGGGGGGCGGCCCTTCGGAGCCTATGGTTGGGGCCCTATTTTCACACAGTCAGTTGTGGCAATAGATACATCTTTGGGAGAGACGTAAGAGAGAGACCGATTAAGTTAAGGAATAAAGTTTGGGTGGCAATCAGCTTTGAAATCAGCATATCTTGCATTATGGTTTGCATATTACCACAAACAAAGTACTAGGGTAGTGAATTGTTGTTAGCTGCCTTCAGCTGTAAGCTAGCAAGGAAAGTTAGCCAACAAAGCTGGAAGCTACCGGTATCGTCTTGCATTTGAACGTGTTCTAGCCTGTATGGATTTTATTTTTAGAACAGTAATGAACAGTTTCAACATTTGTACATGGCGTGTCACATTATTAAAGTGTTTTAACTTCTGTGCAGCTTGACAGAGCTAACATGATGCAACCCAGACTCCAAGTGCAAGCTAAGTGGAGCAGGCATGGTGCACTCGCGTTATAAGGGGGACATCGGCTGCGCTGATAGACAGACCTGATTCGTGAGACACATTTGACAGAAGTACCAAAGGTAAAACAAAATCTAGCACCGAACCCTTTTTCACATTCTAGTATTGACGTACAGAAGTTTCAGTATACCAACACTAATCAGGATAGATTATAATAAGACTCAAATAAAGAACAGAGTAGCAGCAGCATATGATGATTGTGAAAGTATGTGTGTATGTATGTGTTGGTTTGTGCGAGAGTGTCAGTGGGTGTATATATTGTGTATATATAGTCTTCTGAGTGTGCATAGTCAGTGCAAGATAGGGTCAATGCAGATAGTCTGGGTAACCATTTTATTAACTATGGTTAACTTATGGTTATTTAGCAGTCTTATGGCTTCGGGATAGAAGCTGTCTCGGAGCCTGTGGGTCTGAAAGCCGATGCTCTTGTAATGCTTGCTGGACGGTAGTAGAGTGAACAGTATGTCTATGGCTGAAGACTTTGGCAATTTTTTGGACCTTCCTCTGATATAGAGGTCCTGGATGGCAGGGAGCTCAGCCCCAGTGATTCACTGGGCTTTCAGCACCACCCTCTG